GGTGGGATGAGGTTGGTTTATGAGGGTGTAAATTCGACTAGAATTCATACATTGAATTTGGATCATACATCAATTGCCAATCAATCTTTCCTCTTAGTGACATTTTATTCAATTGGAGAATGTTTGGTTATAAAAAGTGAAATTATTTTAAGAGTTTTTCTTGGAAATATTATTTAAAAAGTTTTACTGTCAAAATAAGTCACTCAATGCTTTATTGTGAAATTTATTGATAGCTTTCACAGAAACGGTTGTTTGAGTTATAAATAAAAGTTTTAAGCTTAGCCAAACATGACTTGAATTTGTTTTTTCCCTGGGAGGGCGATTAAGCCTGGGACCACAGTCACCTGAATACTACCAAAAAGGAGCATCCAGCTGTTGACTTTATAATTGGAGCGTGCAATTCACGCAGCGATGAAGCTAAGGTTTTAGCTCACACCTGTATTTATTTTCTCCGCTATAATGGCGTGACAGCATGCCGACCCTTCCGCTCCCATTATCCCCCTTCAAACTAGAGATATTATACTCTGTCATTTGGGAGTCACAATTTTTTTTGGGGCTTTTTTTAAGGCAAATCAAAGCATTCTCTTAGTTGCTTGGATAGTATCTCCAGTCAAGGCTAGCCTTGAACACCTGCTTAAGGCCCGTATTGATGCAGGCCCATAAAAAATTTTAAATTAAAAATGTCAAAGTTGCACCGTCAACAAGCAACGTAGACTACTACTTATGGTCGCGTATGTAAGCCCTTCATGTAAAGTTGGCTTTAGGTTCCAAGAGTCTTAAGGGCGGCTCTTTTTAGATATTTAACTCCTTGCTGAATTTAATACACTTCAATATGATTTGTATTACGAGCTTATCTACTTAAAAATAGATTGTATATATCTCAGTAGTGCAAACGACAATGGTGAAGTATACTCAATCTTGCTGGCAGCCGCAGTGTAAGAGTTCGATTCCTGAAATATGAATTGAGACTCTTTGTGAATACCAGTGTACATGCAGTTCTTGTTCACTGACTTGTTGGGCACATTTCGCGATTAACCTCTCTCTCACGATACTCCAGGGACGGGTGGTGAGAGGACCCTTAATGTTGGGGTTCAACCTTTTTTTTTTTAGATTGTATATATATCAATCTTATGGCATGTAATCCACATAGCACAGTCTATGGCATGTTTGTTTTGTCTCACATAGCGTCTAAAAAATTAATTATACGTTATTATATGAATATATTGTTACATTGTTCATATATACGCATTACGCTTAACTCTATCATCTACAATATTTAGCCCCTGTTTGGCTTCCTTTAAAATAAAATAAAATAATTATTTATGATACTCATTTCAACCATACATTCACAAAATAAAATATTTTGCAAATACAAAAAATATTCATACTTTTCAACTACACATTCTTCAAAAAGTAACTATTAAAAACATCGTTTTTGCACGATAATGACCTTCAAATAGTGGCTTAAAAATGAATAATTGAGGATAGATTTTTAAATATCAATTTTACCCTTATATATTTGATAACCATCATTTGATTTACAATTTCGTTTTTAATTTTTTTTGTCAACTATATCGTTATATAATCTTCCTAAATTTTCATGCATTAAGTTAATTTTGTAACTTATAATATCAAACACGTTTCTCATCTTTCAACTAGTTGATCCTCAAAAGAAATGTAATTTACGTATAATTCATGTTTATAATATAATGTTGAATAATATTATTACTTATACATAAATATAGTTGTTTTTTTCAACAAAATAATAATAAATATGTAAGAACATCTCCGGTATGATCTTTAAAGTTTAGACATAAGATATTCTCTTTTTTATTGAGTCAACCCTTAATATTATATGCCAAAAGATTCTTTAAATTAAAATTTTAAAATAGAGAATGAGTTTAGTTCTCCAACACTTTATAATTGAATGCATCTAAAGTATCTCAATTTTAAATTAATAAAAAAATTAATTTAATAATTTAAAAGGAAGCTAATAAAAATAAAAGACGAAAAAAATGATATTTTGGAAATACTAAAATTACGTACTAAATATAAAGAGCCCATTTGAATAATTAAAACTTTTTACTCTTCAAATTTATAGACACTTTTTAAATTACAAAAGATGTTCTTTAAAAATAAAAAAATACCTTGTAGATGCTCTAGTGATATTTTTTATTCATTATTGAACATGTCTTCTTGATTTACCTTCATTGAAATGAGAAAAAATTAAAAATTTCTTGCATTAAGAAAATGAAAATCGTATGACCATAATGGAAAATCGAAGTCAATAAATTCAAAAGGAGCCGAAGGATCAAATTAAAAAAATCACATTCGTTGCTCTTAAAGAAATAGTTAATGATATAGTTTTTGTTCATCAAGGTTGAATAATAAGTAATTAATCATTGTTGAAATTCTAAATCATCAACATAAAAGTGAGTGGGAACATTATTTACATTCATTTATGTCAAATTCTGAAATTTATGCCCATTATATAGAATAGAAATTCTTCAAATGTTAACATTACGTGTATAATGTTACAATCTTGATACATGTATATCAAAGCTTGCATAATGATTAACATAATGTTATATGACATTGTATTAGCAGACAGTTTAAAACACAGTAAGCTTTTTCATAAATTCATTTCTTTCCAACTCATCTTTTGTCCCTGTGTCTAGACAAATTCTTCTAACAAAGTAGATTAATTCACAATATTTGTTGACCTCAATTTTTGTAGAAGTGGCGGGGCCAATAGATTCCAGTTGGATTAACATCTACGTAAGCTTATACATTGCGCATTGAAGCAAACCGTTATGGCCTATGACCAAACTTCACTTGTGGAGGAGGCGGTCATAGACACTCTGATGGCTCAGTTAATACAAGGAAAGATCTTTATGTGCAAGGACAAGCTATATAAGTTACTCAAAACTGGGTACTTGATAGAGGATAATAGTGAATATTATAGTTTGAGAGTTTAAAACTTACATTGTTCTTGCAATGATACAAGGTTTGAGCTTTTATAGTAGAGGGAATGAATATATACACGTGGCTCCATCCTCACGGTAGAGCCCTCTTGTCGAATGTCAATAAGTTATTTTAGAGTCATGCTGCATTGAGTGCTGTGGCAATGAGTTGTCAAGTCATTCACTTGCAACAAGATTATGTAAACGTTCTTTATCAGGTCTACTTAGCGTTTCAGTGAAAGTGGTTCAAACGTCTCATGGATTGTGAAATTTGGTAAATCAAACGCGTGGGTTCAGACAATTTGTCTCATCTTCCTCTAAAGTCCCACCAAGTGGTTTAACGAGCTTCTATCACGTGATTTCAACTGAGCCTCGTTGACGAAGCACAACAATATTATAAAGTTAGTATTAATAATTGAAACTTGGGTTTAAAGGAGAGTGCATTTGCTACAAACTTTAACCTCATATATTTAATATTAATATTTTCCTTATTAAAAATTATAATTTGGGTTCTACGAGAAAATGCATTTGATGCGTGTAACCTGTATATGATAACGTCTGTTATTATGTGATGGACATAGGGATGTCAAACCCACTCGATGACTCGGGCAGCTTGTGGCTCGGCTCTGGAAAAACCCGAGCCGACCTGGCTCGTGGCTCGAATGGAGCGAGCCTAGGCTCGAGCCGAGCCCTATTTTGGGGCGTTGGCCCGAGCCGACCCATTGTGGCTCGGCGAGCCACGCGGGCCAAAATGACCCGTGACAAGGCCCGCCCGAACTCAAGGTTCAAAACAAAAAAATAATAAATAAATAAAAATAGTCAAGCTGCCATTACAGGCAGCTATATTATAGCTGCCTGTAATGGCAGCATCAGTTTAAGCAGCTTTATAGCTACCTGTAACGGCAGCTAAAGCAGCACCTATTGTATAGTCTGTATTTTATACTATTTTTTTACTATGTATTTCATAATTCAATTTACGAGGTTCATATTTGAAATTCAAATTTCAAATTTGAATTTCAAATTTGGAGGTAAAATTGATATTTTTGGCTATAAATACGGGGTAAATTTTTAAGTTTCAAATCAATTTGTTTCAATCGATTTTAACTTGCAGTATTATATATTCAGGTTTCAACTCTAATTTTTTTGCTCTCAATCTCATATTCAATTTCTTTCACTCTTCTACAATCATACTCTAATATTCTGTAATTTATACTATACTAGTTATAAATGGATTTTAATGTGATGAATTTAATCA